TTGAACCCTGGTTAAACTTTAAAAAAATAAAATATTGGAATTTTAGACAATATAATTTTCCTCCAAGTTAAGAAGTCTCCACCCAGAATGAGGGAAGATGAGCAATGCTTCCGGGCTTTCACTCAAATGTCAAGTGGCCCAAGCTGAGCAGATCTGCACTCTGACAGCAGCGCGAAGATGGCGATGGTGATGTCAGCCGTGAACACTGTCCAGTCCTATCTCAGAAAAAGAAGCTCAGCTAAGACAACAGGACCTCAGAAGCCGCCACCCTCCTGCCTGTGGAGCTGACTCCCCATCCACCAGGCTCCTGGATCCTCTGTACTGAGCTGCACCATCACTGGCCTGCCTAGATTCTCTCTGCCTTGGGATTATAATCTGTTCTACTTGGCTTACTATTGCTGTGATGAAACACCTCGACCAAAGGCAACTTGGGGAGAAAGGGTTTTCTCTCATTGTTCCATATAACCATTCGTCATCAAAAGCATTCAGGGCAGGAACTCACGCAGTACAGGAACCTGGGGGCAGGAGCTGATGCAGAGGCCATGGAGGGGTGCTGCTTACTGGCTTGCTCCCCATAGCTTGTTCTGCCAGCTTTCTTATAGAACCCAGAACCCCACCCACAATGGGCTGAGTTCTCCCTCTTTAATCACTAATTAAGAAAATGCCTACAGGCTTGCCCACAGCCTGATCTTACGCTGGCATTTTCTCAGTTGAGGTTTTCTCCTCTCAGATGACTATAGTTCATGTCAAGTTGGCATAAATCTAGCCAGCCCATAATTCCACACAGTGTCACAGAGGTACAGCCCCGAAGCCGCCTCTTCACCTGTCTGGCTCTCTCCATCTTCCTGCTCCTTGAGGAGAGGGAAAGGTTGCCTTCTTCCCAGGTTGAGCAGCATGGGAGACCAGTGACATGCTGAGTACCCAAAGACAGGTAGAGATGAGAATGGTGCCCACTTGCTTAAATATGGATGGGGAAGTAGTTATAAGCATGTATGTCCAGGTACACACACACACACACACACACACACACACACACACACACACACGCACCACTTTAAATGAACTGAAGACTCAGGGCCACCGGCTTTGGAGCCACTCTGCCCAAAACCCACAGAGATGCTTTCTGGCCTGGGGAATGCACTGCCTCATCTCTTTTCCACCCCCGCCCCTGCTCCTTCTGCCACAGTCAGGGACTCACACTCCAGCCCTGCCTACACTAAAGTTCTTCTGCCAGATGTGAGAAAAAGTCTCCAACAGAGCCACCAAGATCTCTCCCCCTTCTCCCAGAGTCCTCAAGGAACCTCATACCCTCAGAAGCACACAAGCCTGCTAGCATAGCCTCCCAGCCTTGCCTCACCCTGTGGATCCAGGAGCCCAGACTAGGAATCTGTGCTCCTAACAACTGCTCTAATGGGATTCTCCTGAAGTCCAAGAATTACCATATCCTCCTCAGCCTCCTATTCGCTCACTCATTCATTCATTCATTCATTCATTCATTTGTTCATTCATTCATCCTGTCTGGCTTCCTCAGGCTGACTCCATCCCCTTTCTGATGACTCTGAGGCTCTCACGTACGGCAGAGAAGTCCTTCAACTCCCTCTCATAGGCATGGGGAACTGGCTGGCATACAGATCCAAGAGATACATAGACAGAAACACCAAAGGAATGAAACACTGATGGTGGAATTCCAGGCTGGTCACAAAAGTCAGATTCTGGGAAAACCGGCACGTAGCCCTGACCCTGGCCACTCACTGCTGCCTGTCCCACTGAACCTACAATCCTAGAAAAGCCCCTCCCAGCTCTGATCATGTGAGTGTGTCTCCCATTCTGTGACCTGGACAGAGGAGGAGACTGCCAACTCCATCACCATTGCTAGGCAACAGGGCAGGGTTTGGGAGCGAATCCTATGTTCTAAACACATTTGAAAGAAGAAAGAATGCCAAGCTTCCTGTGTCTGTGAAGCTCCCCTCCCCAATCCTCCCTTCCCCCACCACTCCCTGCAATTATGATCTGAATTCCAGTTTTTATCTAAACACCATGGAAACCATGTCCAGGCTGAGTCTGTGAAAGAAGGACACCGCGTGCGTGGAAGGAGGGGGGTGGGGGACCCGAGTCAGGGGAGCAGTCTGGGAGCGAACAGGAGGCAGACAGAGGCAGAGAGGGCAGAGGTGGACTGTCCTGGGATGGAGGAGGCTGCTGGCACCTGCTGAGCAGAATGAAGAAGCCTCTTCGGCACTGGCACATGTACACACACACACACACACACACACACACCATGCACACTCATACACACATAGAAGCGTACATACACCACACAGCAGCTGTACACACTGTGTGAGAATACATACTTCCATGGAAACCTAACCACACCGTATGCAGATGAGAATGTACACACATAAATGCACATACCATTCACGCCAACATGAGTGTACACCTGATGTACTCATATGCACATAGGTATGCATACTTATCCTGTGCATGGCCTCTGTCCACCTCACTCTTTAGGTCTGTAATACCTGCTGTTTCTGGTCTTCCTGGTCCACTAATAAGCATAGGTTCTGGGGTGCTGGGAAACCCCTAACCAGGCCCAGAAGCACCAGATTTCCAGGGCTTGAAGTAAAAAGCCCTCAATCTAGCTGAGGACCGGATGAGAGCTAGGTGGGGTCCTCAGTAAGAGCGAAAGAAGCCCAGCTCCTGACCCATGAGTCCACGGCAGCCCTCACTTACATCCATTTGAGGATGGAACTGGAGAAAGCCTCCTGCTTCCCTGAAAGCAATCCCTCAGTATAGACCACTGACCAACCGTCCGGTGAGGCACTGGCTTCTACCCCTGCGTAGGATACCTCCCTTCCCATCATCCTCTTCCCCACTTCTTTCTTCCTAGGGTCATCTCTTGTATAAACAAATGACAAATATTCAAATCTTGGACTCAGAGCTGCTTGCTGCAGGAAAATGAGACAGAAGTACTCCACACAGTCAGAAATGCAGCAGCGTGAGGACGGGGCGGGGGCGGCTTCAGGGACCCCTGCCTAGACGCTGGCCTGAGGTGAAAGCAGAGAGATGGGTGGGAAGTAAAGAAAAAAACAGGAGGGGACAAGAAGAGGTTAAGGTAGAAGAGGGAGTGCGCCAAAATCCACCGAGGAGGAGAATAGGAAGAGCTACCTGGGGGTGACCTGGGGGAAGCCAACAGAGGGCTTCATGGAGGCCAGCAGGAGGGAGAGCTCCTGGAATAACCCAGGGTTCTCCTGCCTCCAAGACCAGCCTCTTCTGCAGGGCCTCAAGGGCTTGACCTCTCCTGTGGAGCTCTCACAGTCTGGACTCAACCTTCAGGGCCTGCAGGAATCACCTCTCCTCCATATTCGAAAAACACGAGATGGTAAGATTTGAGCTCTGTGTAGATAACCTCACAACCCAAAGAACCTCTTTTACCCCTTTTGAGCATTTTACTGACGGGGAAACTGAGGCCTAGAAGGGGGAAATGGCTATCCTAGGGTACCAGAGATGTCAGGACTAGACCGAGGCCTAAAACCAGGGTCCTTCTCCCTGCCTCGATGGGAGCCGGGTCTGAATATGTATATCTCTCCGGATAGGACAGAGATTCTCTGGCTTCCACAATCTACAGCGCTGGGGTCCTAGCAATCCAGACCACCCAGCTCACAAGAATTCAAGAATGAGGGCTCTCAGCCACTGCTGTTCTGTAACTGCCACCCAGGTACCCAGCAAGATCCTGTCTGCCTAAGGACAGTGCAGCTCAGCCCCCACAAAGAGCATCAGATGCCACCACTCTCCAACAGGGACAGCTGTGTTACATTTGTATCTGCTGCAGAATGTTACTTTAGCTGTATAAAAGTGTGTTACTTTTGTTTATGCTGCGTTTGTTCAACAATGTAAGGATGTGTGTTTAATTGTGTGAAGATGTGTTACATCTGTTTCACCTTGCCTGCCTAAGGCATCTGATTGGTCTAATAAAAAGCTGACAGGTGGGGCTGCCTGGCGGAGAGAATAAATAGGAGGGGCAATCTAGACACCAGCCAGTCAGCCATAGAGAAGCAGTGAAAGTAAGCTATACAGAAGTAAGAAAGGTCATAAGCTCTGAGGCAAAAGGTAGATAAAGAGAAACAGTTTAAGTTAAAAGAACTAGCCAGAAACGTGCCAAACTATGCCAAACATTCAAAACTAATAAGTCTTTGTCATGATTTAGAAGCTGGTTGGTAGTTTTAAAGAAAAAACCTGGAACACAGAGGGAAGTGGGTACCCTGGAGATTTTAAGCAAGGAAGGCCCTCTACCCTCAGGATCTTGGGGTGTGCTCCTCAGCAAACGCCTCTGGTCTGTTTAAACATGGACTCTAGGACCCAGGCTGGCGGTGGAAAAGATCAGTCCCTTTCCAGAGCATCTCAGGGCGCCCAGATGGCCGCAAATGTTCTATAGATAAGCTGGGCCACAAGGCTCTGAGCAGGGGGATGTGGCTGTACATAGTGGGTTCCAGGAAAGTTCAGGGGCACAGGCACAACTCTCCTCAGACTTTGTTTCCTCACATACAAGACCATGCAAACGTCCTCTGAGAATTTAGCTACAAACTGCCTCCTGCTCCCCACAACCCTACCCCATTTTCATGTGGTCTCAAGAGGTGCCCAAGTGGCTGTAAGGTTAACTGAAGGGAATTCTCCACTGTTCAGCCTTGAGGAGGCTGTCACCCATATTGGACCACCCACACTTCTGCAAATAAACCCTCACCCATTCTTCTGCTAGTAAGCCCAATCAAT